TACCCTCCCCTTCCACATCTCCAGCAATAAAATAGACTCCTGTATATATTTAATTTACTAACAAAACTCCATGAGCTATATATCATATTTTTCTTTATCTCCCATCCCTTCCCCCCTTTTCTCTCTCCTTTTTCTTTATTTTATAAAACTGTGAAAACGAAATAAAAGTGTGTAAAACAAAACAACAACAACAGCACATCTGAATTTTCAGGTTTTTTTAAAAAACAGAGAACATATAGTGAGTTACTGCAGCAGTACCATTCTTGAAACATAATTGTGCCATAGCAATTTAGAACTTGGAAAAGTTACTTTGTGGATTACAACCTATAATCCCTCAGTCAACATGCCCAGTGATCTTTCCAGCCTCTGTATATTTGATAAGGAAGTGTCAAAAGCATGCATAGGAATGAACAGCCCTAGTATCAACATATTCCTCAGCATCATCATCTTAAAATCAAGCATGTTAGGAGTTACAATCTAGGCTGCATTGCCTGAGGCTAATTTTTAAAAGCTTGTGAGTAGCTGAATATGTTAATCTAGTTCCAGTTTAATTACTTAACAAAAATACAATTTTTCTTCAATACTGACATAAAAAACTGAATGTTTCAGTTTATGAAATTCCAAAACAGAAAGCATGATCTTTCCTAATCACTCACTTCATCATATTTCCTTATTAGAGTATGCCTTATTCTCATTTCTTGATCTTGCCTTTGCCTCCCTCCTTAACTATTGCATATTAATATAGATGTTTATTCAAGGGTCCTTTTTCTTTCCACATATAAGCTTCAACTATTTCAACACGCTACCATCCATCTCAATGTGAAAATCAACGTAACTGCTGATAGGTCAAGGCAGGGCATGTTTATTTACTGCCACACATATCTTAACACCATGACACATTGTTAAGGTACATAAATACGTCTACAATATTAAGTGCCCCCTATCATCTATGTGAATCTTTGCCGCCTGCACATTCTAAATAAATACTTATGCCTAAGCTGATAATTGGTGGGTCAATAATGCAGTCAGTAGGTCACTGGGTTAAAAAGCCACACACACTTCCACTTTGACATTGATGCTTTGCAATGGTTTTCCAGGTAATTCAATAATATGGGAATGAAACTTGAGAGAACACATTAGCTTGAAAGGGTCCAGTTTTCAGCCTATTTTTTCCAGTTCCTGTTCTGCTTCATCACAAAGGTTGCATTGACATATAATTAAAGGACCCTTCATACTTTGCCAAAGCAATGGAGGGATGCTTTTGGATAACATGTTCATATGCATTTCATAAGGGGCTGAATGCTTGGAGTCATGTTGCCAGATCAACAGCTCTTTACATCGAATAGTTGCACCAAATCTAAATGAACAAATAACAAGTGGAAAGAACATATACAGTTTCCTCCTTCTATGTATTTTGGAATAAGGAAGTGCAGCTTAACCAACATTTTTCAAAAGATATTCACAGTGAGAAATTGGCTACTGTTGTTTCATTTTCTCTCTTCCAACTGAACTCCAGAAAAGTAAGAATGAAAGAAATCCATCTTAGAATTTTATTACTGATGATATTTTTGATAGTGACCACTATTGATACCTCATGATGACCTAAACCAGGGGTTCTCAACCTGGGGTCCCCAGATGTTTTGACCTTCAACTCCCAGAAGTCCTAACAGCTGGTAAAGTGGCTGGGATTTCTGGGAGTTGTAGGCCCAAAACATCTGGGGACCCCAAGTTGATTTCTGGGAGTTGTAGGCCAAAAATATCTGGGGACCACTGCCCTAAAATAAGACTAAGGTCTTTCTGGCACTGCCACGAATGCAAAATAGCAGCCACAATACCTTTACTGCTGTTGTAACTTTACAAAACTTATTTGGAAGGGGAGAAAGGATCTATTCTATTGCCTGCTAATAGTGATTCCCCCCCCCAAATATTGCTCCTAGAAAAAATGGTGAAAGGTACTTCCAGTTGTTCTGTTAACAATGAATGTGAATGACCTCAACAGTCCAAATATATTATTAATGTTTATTTGTTATTAATTTTTGTTAATATTACACATTTTCTCCATAAATGTATAGATATGTTCCCACATTTGTTCCCACACATTTGAACCAAAGAATAAAGATACACTGCAAGGTGCTCCACATTTGCAGTCATGCTTCTCTAATGTCACATTAAAGGATGGGAGAGTAGAAAAAATATGGAGTACAACTTCGAGGAACTTCCATCTAAAATGGCCATTGGGAGTTTAAGCTCCCAATAGTAACTTTACTAATCATTTGGACTTTAAAGTGATTAACAAATGATCAAATTAACTATTAACTGAAGTGCAAGGAGATTAACTTATCATTAGGAATCTGATGGTATCCATTTAAATTGTATTCTAGTTACCTCAAAGCAATCCAAGAAAATACAGATCCAAGAAAATGAAACTATCCACATGTGAACCATTTATTAAAAGCTCCCCTGAATCCATACATACTCATTTGATATCCTGGCTCACTATTTACAAAGGACGATGCTGTTTCCGAATCCTCCAGTGACATTTGCATCTTTTGCAGGCAGGGATAAGGGGAGAGCTAAGAACGTTGTCCAAGAAATGAACATTAACTGATTTCAAAGAACACAAAAAGCAGTCCAGAACAGGCTTAGTGAGTCATTGAGAAGAATCAGAAATACATAACAATATCTAATTTCATTTTTTGTGCTTTTATGTGGAACAATCTATGTATTTTGTTAAGATATTAAGAACAGCACAATGCTCTGTTGAACAGACTCTAATTAGTCACAGAGTCAACACTCTTGATCAGACCATATACTATTTCTTCCAATAGAAAACATAGTTAAGGTAAAGATTTTCCTGACATTAAGTCTATTTGTGTCTGACTCTGGAGGGTGGTACTCATCTCTATTTCTAAGCTGAAGAGCCAGCGTTGTCCATAAACACCTGCAAAGTCATGTGGCCAGCACGACAGCATGGATTGCCATTACCTTCCCAAAGAAGCAGTACCTATTGATTTACTCAACACACAAAGTTACCCCATGCCAATGAGACGGGCAATAGATTGCATTTTTTTAAGAAAAATCTAATTATAACTAGCTAGGTGAACTAACACTATGCCAGAGGAAACTATCCTGGGTCCAGCACAGCACTTCTTCTGGCAAATTATTCTGTCAGCAAAGCTCTGAGATCAGCTGACAGTAGAAAGCTCTCCTACAGGAATAACATTTCTGCCAACAGAAGGTAATTCCACTTGTGAAAGAAGCTTCTCCCTCATCCCAAACCCCTACAACAGGAATTTAGGATTGCACTAAAAGTAGGGAGCCGAAAAATCTAGGCTCACAGAGAACATTCAGCACTGCCCCCTCTGTGTTAATTCCTATTTAGATCTTCATTGGATAGCAAAATATTATTCACTCTTCTTGAGTTAGCAAAATTCAAACTCCTTTTCCCAGTTTCCAGGAACAGAAATACACTACAGATGAATGGGGGAAACTGGGAGCCATAGAAAGAAAATGGGATAGCAGCAGATCAATTGGGATTGCCCATATGATGGAAATCAATGTGGCTTTTCACAAAAAAGTTGCATACCTTTGCAACAAGAGTATACCAAAATACATCAGTCCACTGGTAGCTGATGACCTCCATAATAGTGGGATGGAAAATCTGCTCTGCGCTTAATTCAAGCTTTAAAAGCACTTTCTGTTATTGCATTCACTAATTAGTGAATAAAATTCAGCATTTTTTATTGATCCTTTAAAATTTGCATTAAATTCTAGAATGGGTCCATCATCCCACTGGCATGGAAAGCGTTACTTCCACCTCATCACATTAGAGTTTTCTTTGCCCCTTTTTTCCACTTCTGGATGAGGTGTGCCGAACACCATCAGGCAACACTGGCTTGGTCCCACCACCATTCCTCCTGAAGTGGAGGGAAAGCATTGCAAGGCACTTTTTCTGCCACAATGGGGAGAAAAGTATGTTTTGGGTAGCTCTGGCAGAAGCACCTGCATTTTTTCTCAGTTCATCCATCTAATGGGTACAGGGCATCAACCACACCATGTGATGGGAGAAGGAGGGAGGGCACACTGGGTGCCATGAGGCATCCTGTGTGACTACCAGCAAAACAGCATGGTTCCAGGAGCTGTGTGAAGAGGTCCCTTTCAGGGTTGTTGTCTCTTGGGCACTATCATGAGGTTCACTCACAGAGGAACTACTGTTAGTAAACTATCTTCATCAGATGGTGCATAAGCTTAATACCAATTTATAATCTAAAGGTCCACAGTCTTCCCACTGTTAAATAATTGGCTTTCATGAAACTACAATTCTGCTAAACCTAAACTAGTTCTCAGGAGACAGTTTGGGTTGAAGTTATTTAATAAGGGCTCCTCAAAACATGTGACAATTTACTTTCCAAATACAGCCTTTATAAATAATGTGGTATGACAGCTTTCTAGTTTTAATTCATTGAAACAGAAAATAAAAATCAACAAAGTCAAAGCATTCCACTGGAATATAAATAGGGAAATGCCTTCCTGCAGATGGGGTTTTGATAGACAACTGACTGAGCAGTGTAAAATGTTGTACTGACACAGTGGCGCAGTAGGTTAAACCCCAGTGCCGGCAGGACTGAAGACCGACAGGTTGCAGGTTCGAATCCGGGGAGAGGCAGATGAGCTCCCTCTATCAGCTCCAGCTTCTCATGCGGGGACATGAGAGAAGCCTCCCACAAGGATGATAAAAACATCAAAATCATCCAGGCGTCCCCTGGGCAACGTTCTTGCAGACAGCCAATTCTCTCACACCAGAAGCAACTTGCAATCACTCCTGACACGACAAAAAAAATCCTGCTCTGTTAAACACAGGTATAACAGGGTAAAATTTGGAATCCTTTAATTGTGCATTCTTGAATGACAGGAGGTTGAACTAGATGGCCTTTCATGATTCTATAATTCTACATATTAATGGTGACTTCAACATGATCCAAGATTTTTCCCCCACTCACCTGTTTTTTTCATGTATTTTGAAGATCTCATGTGTCTGTTGCAGCAGTTGTTTCTCCAGCTTGTAAGTAGACAGTGAATTCTCCAACAGCTGAATTTCTAATCTGGAAGTCTGATTTAACACCTGAAGGAGGCAGACAACATATCACACATAGGCGTTGCAATAAATATGGATATCTATGTGCCTCCCCCTTCCCGCCTGCCCCAAGAAAAAAGATAACACACCAATGTGGAAATGGGATGGATTCCTGCAAAAGGAATGACCCATCTAAATGTAATTTAGGAACCAGCATATAAAATACATCTAATTCTCTAATTCATATTATTCCTTACCACTAACCAGCCTTGCTAGGGCTGATGGGATCTGAGATTCAGTGACATCGAAAGGGTCATGCATATCCTAGCCTTGATATAAAGAACAGCAGTGTTACAAAACAGAAAAAAATGCAGTCTGAAGTTTTCTTCCTGTTGCTACAGCAAAGAATATAAACTGTTCATTGCTCTTTTGTAAAAAGCATCCTTACCTAAAAAGCTTGCCAAGGTAATTTAAATTCAAGCACAAGGAAACCTGTTCCCCAGCTACTGTTCTGTAAACAGACTTTATAATGTATTATTATCCCATGGTTTCTCTTTTGCTGTGTTTGGTCTAAGCTTATTTATAGCAGGCTTGCAGTATTAGATATTGTGTACCTCCATAGAAGTAAGTCTACATTCTTCCTTTGTATGAGATTTTTTTGTCCTTGAAGTGCTTTGGGGATTTTAGAATCTGAGGCAAATAGCAAGGCTCATCATCTTCCTCCACCTCTGAATTCCAAACAGAGAAGCAAACTGGATTGTAATAGAATTTTATTTCAATACTCTCAATTGAACAATGTATTTAATTATCCATGAGTTTGCCACATCATTTATCATATACCAGTTTAGGACGTTGAGGAATAGTCCAAAAGACTTAAAGCCTCAAGTAAAGATTGGAGAGAAACACAGCTGGATTGATTCAATATATATTATAAATACTAATTTTACTGTTTTTACCCACTTCCCATTTGCATCAGAACTGTAATTAAACATTAAAGGGAAGCTGAGAAACTTAGTATATGGTTATTTTTTGGGTGCTGGTTTGTATCAAGCATAAAATCTAACCCTGCCCTCCGATTGTGGGACATTCCATGAAACTAAAATCATATTCTGCATTGGGTACCATGATTATATAATAACAGCCTGGGGAATTCAAGATATTTAAGAACAATGGTGTCTCTTTTGTTTTTGCTAAATTCACCAATATGTGCTTAATTTCTTTTAATGCAGAGCAAATATATAGCATAGCCTCTTCTCTCTGTTAATACATAAATCCCAAAATATAACATTTTTGATCCAAAGATTTCTTGCTCTCATATTCCATTAGCAATATGCCAAAGTCATCTTTTCTGAAACTTTTATTAGCCATTTTATGGAAAATTAAGATGCTGAAAGCTTGAGTAAGACTATATTGTCCTCACCATGTGTATATTATCTCTAGCTGAACTAAATTAATTTTTCTTTCTTGTGTAACCAATCTTGTTATTCTATATATCTTTTAAGCATTCATTTTGGAAAAGTATACTGTAAACATGGTTCCAGGCTTGACTGAATATATACATATATTCTATTTCAGACATTCTTTTGCTGCAACTAACTGGCCAAAAGAATAATCACATATATTCATACATTTTTAAATGACAGTCTGATACACAGCAACTGCTAGGTACCATATGTTTGAAACTGTGGAGATTTTGAATTGCAAACAGTGATAAAAGTCAAATAGAAAAAAAATCAACAGATTCTCAGCGAGTTAGTGCCAAGGTGATGTTTCCAAAGCTAAGATGGTGAAGTTAGGGAGTTTGATCTCACCTTTCTTTAGTCTCGGGCCCAGAGTTTGATGAGTTACTAACAAGGATTGAAATGAGCAACCTGATACTCTTTGGACCACATAATCATTCTACAATATATAGTTACAATTGTGATTTTATTCCACTGCATCCAAAACCCTGAAGCCATACCACTTTTCCCAATCACCTTTAATTACTTTGGTAGAGGTACAATACAGGTGGTGGCTGAAATATAGCAAAATATGTATGCCTTCATAATCTGACTTTTGTGTGAAAGAAAAAGAACTTAGTAGTTTCACCCTGAGCTATTGTAACATTACAACATATGTATATTCATTGTACATCAGTAGCTAGTGGAGTGACTGATGCACCACAGCCTCAATATGCAATGGGCACTAATGCAAATCTGGTCATTCCCAATCCATAGGGCATTAGAAAGGTCCAATGAACATCACAAATGGTCAAAGAGCAATACAAGTGCCCTATGGGTATGAACAGTTGAATGCATATTAAAATACATCCAAAAATATAATTTCCAGTGTGTCTTCACAAGCAGGCCTGTAGCCGGGGGGGGGGGGGGGGGTTCAAATCCTCCCCCCAAAAAAATTCAGGTTAAAAAAAACCTGGTTTACTCATGAATTTTAACTGGTTAACAAAATCCCCATACGAAGTCTATGAGATGCAAAAAATAAAGAGTCCCTCCAGAACTGTAAGCACTATCTCAAGCAAATATTGACAATTTATTCACACTGTCATTACTTGCAGCAATAGCCGATGTAGCGAAGCAACCAAGTTGGGGGAGGGGTGTTGAATGCTCTCATTAAGGAGGCCAGACATGGTGTAGGTGGTTGACAGGGGCGGGGCTGCAAGCTATTGAATGCTGCTCTGCCCCCTGCTGTGCTCTTTGCTTCAGCGTGAGCTAGGAGGCAGGTTTCAATGCCCTAGCTGAAATTTTCAACCCCCCCCCCCCATTTTCAACCCCACCCAAAAAAAAATTTCTGGCTACAGCCCTGTTCACAAGTGCCTAAATGACATGAGAAATGCTGAATGAATAGGAGAGTTCCCAGTAAGCATCAGAAGTAGTCCAACAGAGGTTTAGACATCAGTAGAAAAGCACAATACAGAAGCTGAAGGTTCAGGTTCTTTAGTCAATTACCAGAGTGTATACAGTACAAAGTTGAATCGTAATCTAAGGTATGTCCAGAGTTCAGGGACACGAGATAGCAAGAGTCCAAGGTCATTGCTTCTAGAACTGATATTGCAGCCAGCAACAAGGTGCCACCCCTGAGCTTTTTAAATCCTAAATTCACAGGTGTTACCTGTTACTGGCTCTCTTCTCAGCCAATCTCAAGGACCTGTGATACTGAGACTTCTGTCTTCACGGGTTCACAAAAGCTGGAACAGTAAGCCTGCTCAGAGGAAGTTGCATGCACTTGTTCTGCAAGCTGAGAAGTAGTGACATGGTTTCTGCTTCAAAGCTTGGCTGAGGGAGCTGTTGGGCACTGCTGGCTTCCAGGTCAACCGCTGAGCCTTCCACCTGCATGTCCTCCTCGCTTTCCAAGCTGTCCATGACATGTTGATGCACATAAGAAATAACTGATTCTCATTAGAACACTCTTGCCAGTTCAGACATGGGCTCTCATAAAGTCTGTGTAGATGTGCCCTTCATGTGTCTTTTCTACAGTGGCTACCTCTTTTTATAAAATGTTTTATGATGCATAAACTGTAAAAGCATCTCCTCTAGGGATTAAAAGCAGTGGTCAGGAGTAAAAGGGACAAGATGATTTCTTGGTCAAACTGAGGAGCTTTCAAACTGCTTGCATTTTTTAAAGACTAATCACAGTTTGTGACTTACTCTGCTTAAGGTTTGTAGACAGTATTTGAAGGTCAGCAAACAATTTTTGAAGCAGAAGACCAGCATTTTCTGAGCAATAGCTATTAACTAATATTACAGAAATTGTGGGGAAATTCCCATTTCTGTGTTTTAACACAGAAACCAGCATTTTCTGCCCAGTAAACTAAGTAAGTAAGTGCAATAAAAACTCAGTTACTAAATTGAGACAATGCATAATGGATGTGCACTGAAACTACCCATTACAAGCATGCAACACCTCAACAGGATTTTCATGTGTTTTCTGTGTAATGCTATTCCTGTGCAAAAAAATCTGGTTTTGTGTACAAAACAACAATGTGTGAATTTTGTGCAGAACAAGCCATGAATTGCAAATTTTCTCATCAGTTCAGAATGATGGAGATACATTTTTTTAAATTTTTGCCTTATACCTCAAATTTGTATGCCATTTTCCTGAATTCCTATTATTGAATCTAATAGTGAAAAAATGTACCTGTGTTTCAACATCTGTAAGCTTTCTTGTCTGTTCTGCGGTCTGGCTGAGAAGGCTTGTCCCTATCTCCAACATGGTGGCTGTGTGGTTCTGCACAGCATTCTGCTGCATCTGGGCCATCTCTGATTTCATGTTTTCCACAATGTAATTCTCAAGCTATGGATTATGGAATAGAAATGACCATTAGTTTAAATCATTGCATTTGTATACATTGACATTTTATAAAGTTTTTTCTATTTCAAAGCATCCCTCAATATTACAAGAAAACTGGAAATATAAACAAAGAGTCACACAGTAAAGTTATACCATAAACCAGTGGTTCTCAGCCTGTGGTCTGTGGACAACCAGTGGTCCACAAGAATGAAAATATGGTCCGCAGTCTCACCATTACTACACTGTTGCCTCAAAACCACATGGCAATGAGAGCAACTGATCTCGCAAAACCTCCTATAGTGCCGAGGCAACAGGGGAGTTGAGAGGGGAGAGGCTGACTACCCACGAAAGATAACTACTACAACATCAGCTCTAGATTATTAAATATGGTTTTCTGTGGGCAAGCAGATGGTGATTATATGTTCTGTATCATAAACTGGAGCTGATGTGGTCTATTCAATGCAATTTTCTGAATCAGCACTCCAAATAACCAAATTGAATCTAAAGTTGACCAAATTCAGAACCCCTTTGGTACTCATGTTGGATAGTGGTTCCTAGTCAAAGTGGCCCCTGGTCAAAAAAAGTTTGGGAACCACTGCCAGAATATCATAAGATAATGCACAAAAGAGAAATCAACAAGAGTCAAGAGCCTCAATAGAACCATATGAATTCAGAGCACTCAGTAGCCATTTCTGAAGATCTGACCAAATTATATGGTTTTCAGTAGATATTAACAACAAAATGATGGGGAACATGCAGCCCTTCAGATGTTGTTGCTTACAGCTTCCTTTGTCCCTGACCATTGGCAAACCAGAACAAATACATTGGGACTTTAAGGCAAAATGATCTGGATATCCAAATTACTCCCTGCTGAAATGTGTATCTACACGATAGAATCAATGCAGTTTGAATCAATGCATGGACTGTCATGGCAAAAGACTATGGAATCACAAAAAGTAACTTGATCACAGTAGTCCACACAATAATAATGCCCCAATTCTGTGTGTACTGCAATTGGACTTAAATATGTTTTTGCATTAGCTAGAGTAGCTATATCAAGTGCAAAATATATCAGAGAGAAAGTATTTACCAGTATACCAAAAAGACCCACTTCTCAGAATACAAGGATAAACTTCCTTTAAATTACTGCCAAATTCTGGAGTTTGTTCCTTTGGGGGATTTGATATATTGGCACTCTATCAGTAGACAGGGATTTTTTTAACTCAATGATCTAATTTTTATTACATTTCTTTTCAAATGTAAGAGCATTTTTCTTCCCAATGCAAGGAAGTCTTTGAAAAACATACCATTTTTGAGGATTTTTTTTTTTGTAATTTGGGACATTTGCTGCATAAAATCCATAGGTGGCCATTTTACTCAGATAACAGCATTACTGAACTATTATTTTCCATACGAAACGCTGTTTTCTGTGCAAGAAATGCTATTTTCTCTGCAAATCAATTACGAGTGATTTTTCAATTGAATAAATCCTCAGTTATAACATTTTCTGGACAGAAATTCATATTTTCACACTGAAGTATTTTCAACACAGAAACTTCTGTTTTCTGTTAAAAGAAACAAAATTTGCAGACAGATAAGAAGACCTTTTGAGTTAATGGACACTTGATAAAGTAGACGAAATTTCACTTATATCCTTTTAAAAAATTTAATGATTCAATCATATATATATATTGTTATTTAGGAACTTCCAGAGTAGGGTTCAAATCAACTTTAGTTACTACAGGTATAATAAACAGATTTAGACTCTTTAAAATGCAGTGCATTGTTTTTGCACATTTTCTGAAATTTTAGAATGAGGAAATATGTATAGAAATTTAAATTTAATTTTTAATTGTTTTTAATGAATGAAACACCAATGAATGGGGAAAAAAACAGGAATAGAACCCACAGATAAGGAAAGGAACCAGACCATATTCACATCACCATGAAAAATGATTCTACCATAGCACATTTCATAACTAAAATTGCAATAGAAATTATATCCTTCCATCCTCCTTCCAGATGTCAATATTTGCTGAGTTATTCCTCAGACATGCACTTTTCTTGAATTTCAATAGTTACTGGGACATGCCATTTTCTCAAATCCCAAGACATGTTTGAGCCTTCCTCCCATTTTTGAGACTTTTTCATATACTAATTTATTTTAATTTTGATGGAATACGTTTGGTCAACACTATTCTGACTTCCTTTCTCATGCTTTAATTTTCAGAAATCAGTACCGCTAGCCTGAAAACAAATAGTCATTGCTTTTTCCCTTGTAAAACATTCAATGAACTTTTACACAACAGCTGATATAACAGCCTGTGTGATGAGCCATATAATAAAGTCAGTCGGGTCCAGATGAACTCTTACCTTTCCCGTGGCCTTTAATGTTGCCTTGGGGACTACCAACAGAGCCTTCAGTTATGACTGGAAAATGCATTATATCTTTTACACACAGAGTTATTAATTTATTTATTGTGAGGGCAAAGCTGAGCTGAGAAGTGAAAGTCCTGTTCTGAGAAACCCACTATCACAACTAGAGAAAAAACATGCAATGATAAAAAATAAATATGGAATTATGATTTCTAGTGGGAGTGCAAGAGAAGGAAATATATCTATATTTATATCTATATATAGAGAGATAATAAATAAATTATAACATTGTCACAGACACCTTTACAAAAAAATGTTTTCCATATATTCTCATAACATTCTGATGATTCTTGTTTTCCTATCTTTTACATTTCTATATTTTACTACGTATACATATCCATTTTTCCCTTTCCCTTTTTCTCCCTGCCCCTCCCTCTGGGAACAGTTGTACCTCTGTTCTTTGTATTATTTTATTTATTCGATCATGAAGATTGTCTGATCCAGTTCTTTATATTTTCCATTCTCATTTCATACACATGATTATGCAGAGCCTAATTTCATGAGGCTTGGCTGAATATCTAAAATGAGGGTGATAAATCCTATCAAACAATTATTCACTAAATACATACTGAAAATAAAAAAAAAACAGAATGCTTTATCACATTTCTGAATCAGTGGAGGAAGATTGCATAGAATGTAATGTTGAAATGCCAATATGAAATTTGTATCTCAAAAAGTTTTTTTTTCTGGTTCCCTCTCCTCCGTTAGAACCTGTGCTTAAATACAAACATTTAATCTGTAAAAAACAAAACAAAAAACCTTCTGCTTCTTTCTCAGCTTGTCCCTACGTATAGGCATGGGACTGCTTGTTTTTCAGTTTCCACCTTCTCAGTTTGCGTGATCCACCATTTTCTGCCACCACTACCCCCCTCCCTCATTTCACTCTATTACAATACCTAATGCCTGTTTAATTTTATTTAGTTGTGATAAGTTTTTCGGGCTGTATAGCCATGTTCCAGAAGCATTCACTCCTGACATTTTGCCTGCATCTATGGCAGGCATCCTTAGAGGTTGTGAAGTCTACTGGAAACTAGGAAAATTGGGTTTATATATCTGTGGAATGTCCAGGGTGGAAGTAAGAACTCATGTCTGCTTGAGGTAGGTGTGAATGTTTCAATTGGCCACCTTGATTAGCATTTAATGACCTAGCATTTTCAAGGTGTAGCTTGTTCCTGTCTGGGGGGATCCTTTGTTGAGAGGTGATTAGCTGTCCCTGATGGTTTCTTGTCTGGAGTTCCCTTGTTTTGAGTGTTGTTCTTTATTTACTGTTATGATTTTAGAGTTTTTTAAAATACTGGTAGCCAGATTTTGTTCATTTTCATTGTTTCTTTCTTTCTGTTGAAATTGTCCACATGCTAGGTGTATTTTAGTGGCTTCTCTGTGTAGTCTGGCACGGTAGTTGTTGGAGTGGACCAGCATTTCTGACGTGTTCTCAGATAATATGCTGTGTCCAGGTTGGTTCATCAGTTGCTTTGCTATGGCTGACTTCTGCAGTGCCTTTCATGTTCCTTGATTCATGTTCCTTGATTCGTGTTTGGGTGCTGCGTTTGGTGGTCCCTATGTAGACTTGTTCACAGTTGCATGGTATACAGTAGACTCCTGCAGAGGTGAGAGGATCCCTCTTGTCCTTTGCTGAATATAGCATTTGTTGGATTTTCTTGGTGGGTCTGTAGACAGTTTGTAGACAGCTTCCCTATGCAGTCAGTGGTTCCCTTGATGTATGGCAAGAACACTCTGGGTGGATCTTTGTCTTCACTCTTGTGGCTTGTTCTTGGTCTTGTAGCTCTTCTGATGTCTGTGGTGGAGTATCCATTGGCCTGTAAAGCCCATTTTTAATTATTTGAATCCCTGCTTAGCCATGGAAACATACAGTGCGGTCTTTGGCAAGTCATACTCTCCCAGCTGTTGAGAAAGGTAGCCTTGCTCAATAAATCTTGCCAACAAATAATCCTAGGATAGGGTCACTGTAAATTTGAATTAAGAGGCAGGAATATACTGACATCAGTTGAAATGGAGATAAGTCAGCATATGAATAGATGGAAACATGGCCAATTCACTGGCCTTGCTGAAAGCTCACCTTGCTGAAAGATCACCGTAATAGCTCATCCTTCACCAGGGAGGTAACCATTCCAGCAGTGGAAAAAAAGTTGGCATCCTATCCTCCATGCTGAAAGGATTTACCTCTCTGTCTCCTTTATACAACTTCCCTTTTGCCTCTTCTCTTTTGGAATGTCTTGCCTGTATCAATTATATGAAAGATATTCTAGGAAGCTCATATGACCGAGCACATATTTTTAAAAAATGCTTCCCCTAAATAAATGGATAACAAATCAAGAGGAAAGTGTGTGAATTCCAATTTATATTTTGCATCTTAGTTAAACTGTCCTCTCCTTGATGGCTTCTCCCTTCACATGTACATGCTCCTTTCTCAAGGGAGGTGAATTTCCATTCCCAAGGTTTCAGATAAGGGTGCAGAGGATGTATGAAGACTTCAGGATATAAATTGCTAGGAGACCTGAGTGACTTCTCCATCAAAGAACACATAGGCATTGTTGACTAGAAGCCAG